GGTATAAATAATGTTAGGATTAGAATATAATTATAATCCCAACACTATTTAATGTAATTGTAAATTGTCAATTTTAATATAATTGTAATCCCAACCCTTCTGTATTAAAAACAAACCCACAAATGCAAATAATATTAAAGTCACGCTCATCGCAAACAACAACATTAACATTTCTTTTTTTGAAGAAATTGAATCTATATACAAAAACTTTATATACATAAATAAGAAAAAAAATCATTTCTTTCTTGATATTACTGTTCGGTGCAAGTCTCTATCCACCTAAAAAGTATGAGGAACAAAACATTTATAAGAAGAACATTAGATATGATAAGTTTAAAATAAATAAATAAATAAGCCTTACATTATAAGAGAGGTACTCGAAGCTTTCCCTAGTCTGTAAGTTTACAATCTCATTTTCCAATGTATTTTTCACCACCATACATGCACCAAAAATACTATAATTTCCATTTGTGTAGGCACAACAAATCCCATATTTCTCATATTCAAATGCAGACCTGCTGTAGATTTCCTCACTATCAAGTGAACATCTTCATTTGCTCTATGGCCAGATCTGCATGTCAAGTTTATGTTTAAAAGATGACTATCCAGTCTTCAATCATTAATTAAGAAAAATAAATAAACGAAGATTGAGCACATTGATACATTTCTAGTATAACCATCATCAAAGTATCCAATTCAAATTAAAACCAAAATCAAAATTCGTTATAATCATAAGTATTTTGAAGTTCACCATTTATTATTTAGAAAGTCCAAACATAAATTTATGCCACAAAACAAAAACAAAAAAACAAAACAAATTTATACTATCTATCAAGTAAATCAACAACCAACATAAACAACAACCAACAAAACCAACTTTAATCTTCAGTAGCTTTCCCAGAACTATATGTTAATATTTTAAATAACAAATTTTAATTGATCTCTAAGTGAGTTACTCGAAGCTTTCCCTGGTCTTAAGTTTACAATCTCCTTTTCTAATGGATTTTCACCACCATATATGCACCATAAATACTATAATTTACATCTAGTGTAGCGTAACAAATCCCATATTTCTCATATTCAAATGCGGACCTGCTGTAGATTTCCTCACTGTCAAGTGAACATCTTCATTTGCATTATGGCCAGGTCTGCGTGTCAAGTTTATGTTTCAAAGATCACTATTCAGTCTTCAATCATTAATTCAAAAAAATAAATAACTGAAGATAGAGCACATTGATACATTTCTAGTATAGCCATCAAAATATCCAATTCAAAAAATTAAATCTATTCAAGGTTGAAGAATATATGCCACTGTCAAAAGAAGCAAATAATACACTATCAACAATCCCTTGGTATAATATATGAAGTTTGTCCCAGTGAAGGAAGTGTAGGTAATACTGTAGGAGCTATAGAAGGCAAGGAATACATATATTAAGATTAAAATATATATATAAAATTGTGACAGGGTGCTTTTGTGGGAGAAAATTGAAAGGATGTAGCATGCAAAACAATACAATATGAAGTGGGTTTAAGTCAATTGAAATGTTTAAGTTTGACATCAGAACTTAATTACAAAATTAGCATGCAGAACAATACAGTAGATACTTAAAAAATCAAAAGAAAGAGAAAGGGTATGCAGTCACTGTCCCAAATTCGCATGTGCTTCCTTCCATGTAGGTTCAAACAGACACATACAATACACAACTCAAAATGTTCACTGTGATCTGATTCCCAATCCATAGTGTTGTAGCATACATTGTGTTGAGTCTGTATTGGATGTTTAAAACTTATTTAAAAAAATAGTAATAATACTGTACAAAAGTATGAGTTAGTGATTTGTTTGATAATATAAATATTTTTCGTATTTATAATTAGTTACTTATTGATTGAGAAATAAAAAAATAAAAAAAGTATGAATAGAGCTGTGGTCTATTTCAAAGTATTGAAGAATTTTACTTGAAGCTTTCCTTGAACACATTCTGTTTGAGCATGAAGTGGGTTTTGCATCAACAGCGGCAGTGGTGATGATGAGCAGCGGTGGTGGTGTTGCAACCATATAGACAAACCAGACATAGCCATAAATTGATCTACTGGAATGCAATAAACTGATCTACGAAATTAGAAATCAAGAAATTTATTGAAATTAATTAAAAGAAGTAATAAACTGATCAACGAAAGGGGAGAGGCAGAAATCGAACCTTGCGAGTGCGAGTTCGAAGGGAGGGTGGTTGTCGACGCTGAAATTTTTATTCATACGAAACAAATTGATTGGAAAAAAAACCTAACTTGGATCATCATCCGTATATCATCACCAACCTGAAAAAGTGAAACAAAGAGAAAAAAGATTCATCAAATACCAGTTTCATTTTAAAAATAACACCTTTTTTAAAAATAACAGAGATTGCCCGTGCTTGAAGGCACTATCTAATAAAATTCTTATATTACAGTCTATGTGTTGCAAAAATGTTAACGATCATAAAAATGTTTTATGAAAAGTGTCTCAAAGTTGTGATCAAATAGCCAAAAATGTTCAGGATCAATCAATCGACCTACAAAGGTTAGATGATTTTTCATAAAACTACTTAAGAGAAATTATGTAGTATACCCAAACAAATATAGCCTTAAATAGTATATCAAAAAAAAATAAAATAAAATAAGGGGAGTGAATTTAACTCGGTTACAGTCGTGTACCCGTGAAGTGAATTTAAAAAAATTAGAATATTAAATTAAAAAATTAAAAAAAAATAGTGTGTGGTTTAACTCGGTTACAGTCGAATTCACATGTGAAGTGAATTTAAAACATACATTACTTTATTAACATTTGTTTTGTGTTTGAATTCTTGATCTATATATTATTTTTCTTAGTATTTTTTAACGTAAGAAGTAGCTGACATTATTTGATAAGCCACTTTGTAGGTGAATCACCTCAATTTCTTAATTATTGTTCTTAAAAAGCAACTAATATGCTATTTCCAATATTTTTTATTTATCCATTAAATTAGAGCTACCCTTAAAAAAATAAGGGGAGAAATGATGGGAAGTGGTCAATGTATACGTCCCAAAAAAAAAAAAAAACAAACAAACAAACAAACAAAATAATAATAATTGGAAAAAGAATTCACACCAATAAAAAACAATCTCTTCTAATTTTATACGTAATGATATGACAAATTACATATTAACTTTTGATTTATTACAAATTCAATCATGTAACTCAACTCCATTGCGATGCCATTGCAAATGAATTGTAAATTCCAAAGTGCAAGTCTTTAACATTAACCTAGAAGAGTTACCCTCTATCTTTCGTAAACAAAACTCTTGTTCTTTCAATTAAAATTCGCCAAGAAATAGATAATTAAATGTGTTGCTAATAATAAATTTAAATATCTAAAATAAAACATCATTTTCTTATGGAGAGTTATATAATTGGAAAGATCCCAAAACTAAATTAAATACGACAGTAATTCTATGTACGCATAAAAATCAGAAAAACATGCATACAAAATCAATATGCAAATTGATTCTAGGTAATGTGAAGACTACAACCATAATGAATTTAAACCACATTAATTTTTCTATATATAAATTGTAGTGCTCTTAATGGTTCCATTCAGCAGAGAAACATTTGGGTCTAACCCCAAATAACACTTCAGCTACATATTTAGCAGTCCTTGCCGGTTCCTTGATGTTGTATTGGGATATTAAATTTGTGGAAAAATAAAAATAAAAATAAAGAATAAGTGAACAAAGTAAAAGCTCATTGCCAATCATGATACATTTCAGACCCAAAATTTTTTTAAAAATTAAATCCAAACCCATAAGCTACATAAAAAAAAAAATAAATAAATAAAAATTGGGATAAGAATGCACAAACAGAACACCAAAAACCCTCTTCCCTTATTATATAGATATATGTTTGATAATACAGATGTTTAGTGAGAAAACAAAATTTTAAATTTGGATGATTTCCACTTCTATTTCTTTACATTCAATAGAAGGGAAATAGGAGCTCAAACTCAGGAATCGCACCTGGCAAGAGAGCACCACAGGCCTTAGAAATTGAAAAAGCTAGAAAGATAACAATAATGTGACTTGGCAAAAGAATTTAAAATAGCAATGATATGATTAAAGTCAAATGAATAGAGGATAAGGTGGTGTAAAGGTAAAAAAGAAAATTACCAGCCAATGCCAACCACCAAGACCAACAGCCTTCTTGACGACACCTTGTTCTGTTGTTCTGTAGTTTCCTGTTACAATAAATTTGGTGTGCCTAGGAAGAACAGAAAGCTCTTCATCCCCGCTTTCTTCCCGAAAAGGTAAGAGAATCCGAGAAGAACATAAATTTCCCCTAAATTTCCCACTTGACAATTTCGAGCAACAAATAGAAATCAAACCCAGTTACTTCAAAAATAAGCAAAACACATCCGATTAAAATGCCTAAAACGTCTAAATTTAGTCAAAACCTTCCTTGTCATAAGCAGCTGATATTAAAAAAAATAAAATAAAATAAAAAAAAACCAAATTCATTAGAAGAACACCCATCAAAGCAAATTCGGTCTTCACTATTCAGTACCCAGAAGCAAAAATGTTGTATAACCTAGTATTCATATTGAATTGCAGACCCAGAAGAACCCATAAACTTCAATTCATAGAGTGTCCCTTGTTCTAATTTGTACTTGGACTATTCTCTTCACACATTTCAATTGAATGAAGCTATGATATTACTGAAGATGAAAACAATAAAGATTGAAGGTATGAGAGAGAGAGTGAGAGAGAGTTCTGTATTAATGTTGATTCTTCAAGGGGTCTGACACAAAATTTTGAAGGGAATGTTGAATGCGATGAGCCACAAAGTTCAATGGGCCTCTCAAATTCACGGATTTAGTTTGACAGCAATAAATGAGCAGCAAATTAAAAAAAAAAAGAAAAAAAAGAAAAGTTTTACAAACTAAAAAATAAAATAAAATAAAATCATACTCGCTATCCTAAAAAAACCCAATTTACCTTTCAGCTTTCTCTCACTAATTCGAACAATTATCAGAAAAGTACACATACTGAAAAAGAAACTTGAATTCTTGAGGGGGTGAGTGTTGGTTGACTAAAACAGAAACCAAATAAGCCCTAGAATTTAGAAATTCAAGAAAAAGGTCGCGAAACAGAAGCAGAGAAACAGAACATACCTGGGGTGAGTGTTGGTTGACTAAAACAGAAACCAAATAAGCCCTAGAATTTAGAAATTCAAGAAAAGGTTGCGAAACAGAAGCAGAGAAACAGAACATACCTGAAAATCCTAAGTGATTCGTGATTAGATCAAGATTAAAATATTCCAAATCTCAAACATCCAAAACACACAATCTAAATCAACAAGCACTTACGAAAGTGATTTAGATTGTTTGTTTTTCAGAATAAATAATAAATCGACACAAACGATTTTTACGTGGAAAAAACCACAATTGGACACCTCCAACTGTGATTAAAAAACCACGGGCGAAACGCCACTAATCAATCCACTACTGAAAAAGAAAGATTACAAAGATAACATACAAATTACCCAACTCAGTCAATTTGTCTTCGAATCTTCTGTAACTCTTTCTCCACGACTTCGTCTCGGAACTAATCAATCCTGAAGTTGATTCCACAACCTCACTTGTCGAATTAACGACTACGTATAGAATCAATCGCCTTTTGAACCTATACGCTTGAATCTTCGGAATCCACCGAAGAGAAATCTCTCTTGAATTTAAAGTAACCAACTCTTTGATGTATGTATTTTAGATCATGAGTGAAGAACTCTTCTCAAAACATCAAGGAAAACTCATCAAAACTTCAGAAGAAAACTTCAAACAAAACCCTAGGACTCTTGAATAAGATCTAGGAAAAAAGTAATCCTAAAAACAACCTAACAGATATAAATAGGAATCCTGAATCCGCGATCTCCGCTCGAGCGCCCAACATCCCGCTCGAGCGGCTTCAACAAAATACGCGTGTGGTAACACAGTGATCCGCTCGAGCGCTTCATAACCCGCTCGAGCGCAAAATTACGCACTCCAGTACTTTTACAGACCTGTCAAAATACTAAGAGACCACAAACTCCGCTCGAGCGTAAATGTCCCCGCTCGAGCGGAAAGAACAAAAACACAGAAAAATTAACAACTTTAACAACTCAAAGTTTTGTATCCGGATTTGACAAACAAGGGACCTAACAATCTCCCCCTTTGTCAATTCCCGGAAAAAACCTTTCTAAAACAAATGTCCTTAAACACACGCACTAGACAAGATTAAAAACAAAGAATAAAAAAAACTCAAAACAACTCTATAAACAACCAATCTTGCCAATCTTGCCATGTATCGGTCCATCAATCCAATTCTTCATCCAACATTCACCTGTGAAAAGGCTAGTAACATACCAAAAAAAAAACAAAACTTGTGGAACTATATAAGAATATATCAAAACGTATCCATCCGATAGAACCAAAGGAACAAAATATCCATATGAACAAAATATCCATGTGACATAACCAAAAGAACAAAATATCCATATGAACAAAACAAAAGAACCATCTTACAAAAAAAAATATACCATGTACCATCACTAGAGACCAAATTCACCATCAATATACCATCAATATACCATCAAGACCAAACTCTCCCCCTTTTTGACCGGGAATCAAGGAAGCAAGAAATCATGCACCAGGTGGAGGAGGTGGCGGCTGAAGCGTCAGTAAGGAAATGATGTGGTCCAGCTGCGAAGTAGTGTGAGCGGCAGTCTGCTCCATCTGACCAAGACAACCATCAAAGGCATCAAAACGGGCATCGAGAAAGTCTAACCTCCGGGTCATAGCCTCCTCAAAATGCTGAAGCTGATCAGGAAAAGTGCGAGGTGGAACAGGTGGAGTAGGATCCTCCTCACCCTCGGCGGCGGCAGCGTCATTTTCAGCCTCCTCAGCAACCTGCAGAAGGATCAACCCAAGAAGACTCCCCCTTAACATGAGCCCGACTCTGAGAAACAGTTTTCTTGGTGAATGGTCTGGAGGGGAAGGCAAACTCATCATCCTCTAACACTCGAACCCCAAGTTCAGACAACAGACGGTTGATCAAACAACCATAAGGAAGGCCTAACTGTTTATTCCCAAAAACACCTATCATTTTCCTAATGATCAGGGTAGCTAGATCAATTGACATGTGACAGGCAATACAGAACAAAACAAAACCTTGGTCTTGATTAATTTCTGAGGAGTGAGTGGTCACAAGGATGTTGGCACAAACAATCAGATTAAGCAGTCTAAACTCCGGAAGAAGTTCAAACTGTTTAATCAAGGCACCCGTAGGCCAAGGACGGGAAGTACCACATAACACCTCAGTCACATTAT